AACACAGCCTTGTCCAGAGAGATCGAAAAAGAGTAACTTACAATGAGGGAGAAGGTCAAGATTCTTCAATATAATGCAAAGGAATACAATGGTGTGGAATTGTATGACCGGGAATCTCAAATATGACCAAGACTCAGTGAGAATAGCACGTCTAAGAAAGGAATTTAGTAAAATGAATTAGTGGGAGCTACTTGTGCAAAGTAAAACCAGATGCTCAGGTGGGGAATTTTTAGAATGGTGAGAAAATGCTAACTGCAGGACTGAAGAAAGCACAACAAAACCTTGGTGATCAACATCCCAAAATTAGTACTATTACAATCTGCATAGATCTCATGTATCAGCAAAAAACAAGAATAAAACCTAAGCTAGAGAACAAGTAAGATCCAGCAAGCATGATAAATTGTTCAGTAAATGTCAATTAGATGGTTAGTCATTATTTTCAGCACCTTAAATGTCAATTATGTTCAATAAATGTCAATTAAATGGGTTAGTGGCATTAAATTTGTAGTGATAAACTGCTAATTTAATTATGACTTATTTGCTAGAAAGTCGGATGGAAATTCTAAATCTATCATCCACCATCAATTATTCCAACATGCAGGCATATAAAAAATCACGAGGGCGTTAATATTATCTATTGTCATTTTCAGAGTAGAAAGGATTTGAAGGAGGAGGGGATGAAAACCCAGAAGCAACTGAGTGGTTCTTAGCAAACCTGGGCAAAGAGGATTTCTTGACACCAAATATTTTTTGTCATTGGGTTAAATCAGGAAGTCAGCAGGAACAAACAGTTTCAGGCACTTGAGAGAATAGATCTGTATGAAGACACCAAATAAGAAGATCGAACTAAGATTATCAAATGAAAGATAGAAGAAAAAGCAATAGACTGTTTGGACCCTGAAGACACTGGCAAAAAATATCTAGAAGAAAAGATCTCAAAAACGCTAACATCCTATCGAATCAATAATATATCTCAAAAAATTCTCTTGAGAAACTTCATGGGCGGTAGCCGGTAGATTATAGATTGACATATTTACATTTTAATGAAATATAGCTTCCAAACCTGGGAAAAAAGATCTAGAAGAAAAGCTTTCACGTCTACCAAGAATAAGTTATGTAATATTGGGTACACAAACAGTTCAAAGTGATCTACTCTCACTTACCGGGCAACAAAATTCTCAAGATGTGATTTCAGAAGGAGCTGCCAATATGATACTGATGTTAACATGAAAATCAAGCAGCAAATAACAAATATAGAACATTAGAAGGATAAATTTAAAAATGTAGGTTGTGTGAACCTTAGTAAAAGGTACACACACATGAGGGCTGTACCTTGATCTTGCTAAACCACTACTACCCATCAAAATAGTGACAATGACTCCAAACTGTTTAGTTAATATCATTTAGTAATTATAAATTACACAATTTTTTAGAGAAATAGATATTTATAGTTTTACTAAAGTTTGAACTCTATAGTACAAGTTAATATACAGATACCGAAGTAGCCTTTGTTTACTAAATGATTGGCATACTCAGTTGATTATTATAGTTTTTTTTTACTAACCCAAGTCCACTCTAGATTATCTGCTCTATCAGAAATTTTATCAAACACTTGACATACATACATTGTAGTTTGGGTTTCAAACTTACTTTCAAATTAAGAATAACAATATTGTGTGATGAACCAATTTTACAATTGTACCATTGTCAATAAAAAAAATGCCACACTGCCATTGACTTCATAAACTTTTATGAATCTCTATGAATCTCTGCTAATATAACAAATAAATTAAGAAAATAAAAAACTGCCACACTGCCAATTTCATAAAAACAGAGTTATAGACAAACAAACAGAGGCATCTTCTATGTACTATAGGTTATTACTCCGTAAGATATACAATAAATTTATTGAAGTGAATGTCCACCAATTACCTATCTCAAATTTGTAAAAATCTGGAAAGCACTTGGATGAGAACTGCTGGGAACTTCGACCAGAATCGCTCAATCCGGAAGAAGATCCTTTATCGAGAGTGGAAGGAGGCGCTCAATCGGGAAGAAGGCTCAAATGAGAACTGCTGGGAACTTGAAGCAATCATAACAATAAAAGTATCAAACTATAATCACAGTGGTTAAGCCTCAAAATGTATACAAATTATCAATTACCAAACTATAATTGAAGAAAAAATCAGCCTCAAGGTCCTCAAGTATAAATTTTCAAACTGAAATTTTAACTCCGTATAGTAAAATCAATGGATTGCAATGGTTCATAACTCCGTATAATCATTTGATTGACAACAACTGAGACAATTAGATTAATAATTTTAAAAACTGAAATTGGAGCCTGGAAGTCGTTTGTAGCAGAAAGGCGACGGCCGACAGCCTAGCTTCGTTGACGGAAGACTATTGCCGCCTCTGGCCTCTGCATCGACGGTGGTCTCTTCTACTCTGGAGTGTGTTGCGCGTCGACGGCTGTCTCTTCTACTCTGGAGTCTGGGCTGCGCTTCGACGACGGTCTCTTCTACTCTGGAGTCTGGGGTGTGCATCGACGACGGTCTCTTGTACTCTGGAGTATGGGCTGCACATCGATGGCGGTCTCTTCTACTCTGGATCTGGATTTTGCTAGTATTCACAATTCGAGACTGGAGTGCTTTAGGTCTGGGTCTCTGCGTTGAGGGCTTTAGGTCTAGCAGACAAGAGTTTAAGTATATACAAGTACTACGTAAAAAATAAGGAGTATGATTTTTATTAAAAATTGAGTGTCATTGAGGTGGTAAAATCACTTAGGGCTGATGCGCTAGTGTCATAAACGCCTAATGTAATGGAAAGTGTCACTAAAATAGTGTCACTGTAAGCTGTTTTTCTACTAGTGAAATTGAGTTGTAAATTTGACTTTTTTAGTTTAACAATTTCATTTTATTCATTCAATTAGGATATAATGTCAATTCTTAATTAATTTTTCATTTGGACTTTGCAATTTTATAGATATATTAGTGTAGTTTGTGAATATGTAAATTTAAATTATTAAAATTGAATTAAGTATCAATAGGGGATTTAACTTTAACATTGATTGACAAAAACAATGTTGACTTTGCAAAACGATTCGGGACAGAGGGAGGTAGTATAATACACCATCCTTAAATATTTATAATAGGTTGAATTTTACACTATTCACATATTATACTTTCAAAACATGTTTTTGATTGTATTGGAAATTTTAATTTTTTTTTTCAAAATTTCTTATTATAATTTTTAAAATTGGTTTTTTTTTGAATTTTTATTTACATGCAATGAAATATATTATGATGATTAAAGTTGTGCATTGACAAACGTGAAAAAAGAAATGTTACAATTGAAAATGAAAAAAAGAATACAGAAATATACTCTATATTACTACCTCCGTTCTTTAATAAGTGCAACATGTTGAATTTTACACTATTCACATGTTGTACTTTGACTACGTTTAATTAAATAATGTATTAATATATTTTCTTGAAAAAATATTGTTAAATTTGTCTCATTTTAAATTTTCAAATTCTATATTTTTTAAATTTTTTACTAATAAAGAATTATATATATTAATGGTCAAAGTTGTGTCTCGACAAGTGTGAAATGTTGACCGTTGCACTTATTTAAGAACAGAGGAAGTATATACTATTGAATTGTAGGCATAAAAAGTTACTATTTCTTACTTTTTTGAATATCATCTTTGACTTTTCTATTCAATGGTTATAAATTTTGATTAATCATTTAACTAATATATTTTTGGTATACTCATAAATTTCATACTTTTTATGATACTAGTAGACAGTGGCGGATGGTCTTTGTTCAAGGGTGTTGTTGAAAAAAAATTCAATTGTTGGATCAAACAATATTATTTTACAACATTTTAATGGTAAAATAATTTTGAACACCCAACATTGGTTGGCAAGATCCGCCACCGCTAGTTAGCTAGTACTTGTAAGAAATGAAGAACATTTCGATATCATTTTCATATTATAAAATGACAAAAGGTGTGTATGGATTATGATCTCAACCATCATAAGTATTTTATGTTTATTTACAATATTTTTCTAATCAGAATATCTTATTAGTCCATAAGACCATAAGGTAGTACTATACGGAGTATAGTTTTAGGTTTGTTTTGACTTTTGATAAATACTACCTCCGTTCTTAAATAAGTGCAACATGTGAAATTTTACACTATTCACATATTCTACTTTGACTACATTTTATTTATTGATGTATTAATATATATTTTTGAAAAATATATTATTAAATTTGTCTCATTGTAAATTTTCAAAAACTGATTTTTTAAAAAAATTTTACTGATAGAGAATTATATATATTAATGGTCAAAGTTGTGCCTCGACAAGTGTTAAATGTTGACTATTGCACTTATTTAAGAAAGGAGGAAGTACTCCGTATATTTTACATACGTCAGATGTATTGTCATATGAAAAAATGTTGTTGCTTAAATTAATTAAATACCTCTCCTAAAAAACGTAACCTTGAATACGTCCATTCCAATAAGTCAATAACTTATGAGAAGCATAGCATTCACGTATTGTTATGTACTTATAATTAATTAAGGACATAACATTAACATACGTTCATTTTACCCACACACAAAATTGTGAGGTCCGGTGCCTGGTCGATCGGGTCGTCAAAATAACAAGTTTTAAAATAACAATATACATACAACACATTTACGTTTAATTAATTTCTTAGACTCAGGTACGTACCTAGAATTGATGAATTGATCTGAAGAAGACCTAAAAACTAAAGGCAAAGAACATAATCATTATTGTCTAGATTTGTGAGGTTAAAACTTCAGCATAGCATAATTACTCCAAGGACTAATAATACGAAAAAGTACCAATTACCTTGACTAATAATTAAATTAACCTTAGATAGACCATTCCGGCCTTCAGGCCTATATAAGCACCATTTTAATGGATTCATTCATTTATCGAACTCCATATGACTAATAACATACGTAGCTGATTAGTACTGCGTATATAGTAATTCAATACTTTTCTTTCAAAAAATGGCGCGACGTTTGTACCTTTTCAGGCCAGTTATGACCTTGCTTTTGTTAGCGAGTTCAACAATGGCTGAACACACCGCCTCTGAGCCGAGTGGCTCACCGGACGACCTCGAAAGTAAATGGTATGAGGCGTGCGACTCGAGTGGTGAGAAAATCATCTCCGTGGAGGAGGGAATGCTCAGCCACGGCAGCGTTACGTTCAAAGGCGCTGCGTGCACAAACAAAGACCGCATCACATTCCAAATCAACGGTAAACATCAGGCTCCCGACTATACTGTCATGGGAAGCTGCGATGCGTGGATCACCTTCCAAGATGTCAACAGCGTTTCCATTAGTGGCATCGGAATCCTAGACGCCAATGGCAAGTCTCTCTGGGCTTGCAAAAAGTCAGGTGGTGGAGATCACTGCCCTGAAGGAGCTACGGTAAGTGCTAAGTATATATTGTAGGAAGGCAGTTCATATCGGTACACGTCGTCCGGCCAAAGCAATTTGGGGCCTTCTCGCTGGAATATTTTGATGAATTTTTTGGAAGGAAAGTTCCGGAAATAGGAATAAAAAAGTTTGAAAACTCTAAAATAGGAATGTCATGTTTTTTTTCCAAAATAGGAGTACTTACTGTCGAGTTTGAAAAATAGTGTCATGTTTAAAGTCTGATACTTACAGTCATTAGTCCTATTTTTGCAGTAAAAACTTGATGGTCCTATCTTGGAATATAGAAACATGTTTAGTCCTATTTAGGGTAATTTCCCCTTTTCTGAACGTGTTCTTTATCACGTCTCGTTTATGTCCACCAAATTTCAGATAAAAATTCAATCATAAAGTCAATTACATGTGAACTGAAAAACATTGTGTTGTATATATATAGAGAGCGCAGTGTTTTTAAACAATTTATTTAAATGCCTTTTAAACTAAACTTTGGTTTTTTTCTGAAAAGAAAATCTCAGTACTGATGAAATGCAGATTCCCAAATAATGTCACTTTGCTGTTGAATCAAATTTAGTTATAAATTACCATATTTTAAACATTGGTATCCTTCAAAAAAAGTTAAACTTTGTTGTGCATTAACTAGACTAGACTTTGAATAACTTTTCAAAAATATGCATCAATAAATTATATCGGGAAGGCTTCGAAAAAACTGTTTAATTAATTCTATGTTTAACATTAATACTTTTCAGTCATTGTCTATCCTCAACTCCAAAGATGTGGAAATTGAGGGAATAACCTTGCTTAACAGTCAAAAGTTTCATATGGCGATTGTGGGAACCACCACAGCTATGATTCAAGGAGTAACGATTACAGCGGATGGGGAGAGCCCTAACACAGACGGAATACACGTCGAGTCTTCCTCTGCAGTTAACATCACTCATTCCAATGTCGGAACCGGGGACGATTGCGTCTCTATTGGTCCCCGCACCAACGGCGTGACAATTAGGAACTTGACTTGCGGACCGGGCCATGGAGTCAGGTTATTTCTCATCCCAAAAATAATGTCCCCTTACTTTGCAATGGTTGACCGACCTTTCCCTAATAAAAGTATACTCTATGTTGACTTCTAAAAGAAATCAAAAAATATTATTTGCAATACTCTTGTAAAGAGCTTCAATTTAGTCGTATTTAAGAAATCAAAACCACTTTTAAGTAGTGGACCTGTCCCGAAAAGGTTCGTCATATTAATTTTATTTGATTAATGATGATAAACTTTGGATACTGATTTTAATTATTATATTTGTATATAATTTATAAACTTTATACTTTTATGAAAATATTTTGAAAACAAGCAACACCTTGATATAATTTCCACATTCTAAATAATTTTGTATTAAAAAAATCATTGGTCAAAGTTGATTGTCATTGACTAAGAAAGTCAATTTGGCGAACCTTTTTAGGACGTTGGGAGTATGTAAAATTTAAATGATTTAATAATTACATACTTCAGTATATATGAGTAAGTGCGGTGACTATAATAGTATCTGAGTCATCGTGATTTACGTTCAATTTTTACACTCAAATGACTTTAAGAGTAGAGTACTTATCTGGTCAGGCGCGCCTGACCAGAACCGCTGTTCGGACTTGCCCGTTTGGGGCGGTTCCCGGTGGAATTTTTTTATTAAATTTTTTGAGCATGTTCCTCATCAAGTGTAGTTTATCCATACCAAATTTCAGTTCAAAATTCGACCGGGAAGGCAGTCAAATAAATTCTTGAAACTTACTGCACTTTATATATGCGCAGAATGTGCATATATAAATTCGACCGGGAAGGCAGTCAAATAATTTAAATACTCCAAACTTTGTATAAAAAGTTATTTTAGCACCATAGTCAAGTATTATTTTTTCAAAAATGTAAATTTATGGTGTTAAGTGCATAATTCAAAATATTTTAGAATTCATGAAGACACAATCAACATTTTAAACTTCCATTGTGAAATAAATAATGTTACCCTAATCTATATAATTGCAACACTTTTAATTTGCTATTTTAAATTGTGCAATTAACCTCATAAATTTACATTTTTGAAAGAAATGATATATGATGATATGATGGTGCAAAAATAACTTGTTATATAAAGTTTGAAATATTTAAATTACATGTGCAAGTTTGGAGTGTTACCTTACATACCTTCAAAATTTGGGGTATTTAAATTATTTTTCCCTATAAGTTAATCATGCCATACAAATCAATTATTTCTTTGAGTAAATAAAAACTCAAATTGCAAATCAATTAACACATAAACGCATTGGGAATGGAATTAAATTGGTGTTATATATGTTGCTGGATGGTTTTGGAAATAATACGGATAATAATATGGTGCAGCATAGGGAGTCTAGGGCGAGAGGACAACGAGGGGCGAGTGGAAAACATACTGGTAGAATATGTTCAGTTCACCGAAACGCAGAACGGAGCGAGGATCAAGGCGGTTGCCAGACCTGAGGCGGACGCGGTTGTGAACCAGGTCGTGTTCCAGCACCTGACCATGACCGATGTTACGAACCCCGTTCTCATTGACCAATACTACTGCCCTGACCATCAAAAGTGCCCCCAAGGGGACTCCGGCGTTAAGATCGGCAACGTCAAGTTTGTCGACATACGGGGGTCGTCAAAGTCGGAGTTTGCCGTCAACTTGAATTGCAGCGCCCTCAGCAAGTGTTCCAACATAACGGTCTCCGACGTGGAACTCACTTACAACCGCGGCAAACCTCGAGCTTCCTGTAACAACCTCGTCGGCAACCCTTGTGATTCTGTCTTTCCTAGCAATTGATATCCCGCCCTGCATATACTATCGTATATACTACGTATTAGGATGTTTTTACTTGGCACTCAAATTTTCTAGCTTGGTACTCTGGATCTTGTCTGGTCTTTTAAGATTGAAATTAGTCTAAGTAAAAACATCCTTATTCCTAGTTAGCTAGCTTTAAATTCTGTAATACAAGCTTGGTGGCTTGCCGAACCGACCGAGCCCAGTTTTTTTGTATGACCACTGATTAGAAGTAAAAACACAGAGTAAAAATATGGTGACAACTCCGGTACCCTTCTAAAAAATAGGATACCGTACCTACCATTCATTTGATTGGACCATACCACTTTATCATTTTTAATTTAGATTTAAATAATTCAACTGCTATATTCTCATTGGTCCATGTGGACAAATGTATGGTACCTTATGGGTACCATAGAATCTACCTAAAAATATTTTGAAATTCCAAAATATGAATATCATGTTTGTATTTTCTAAATATCAGCAATTTCTATCACGTTTGACTTATTTGACTGTAAACATGGTACTTTTAGTCAAATTTTTTTCAAACTTGACAGAAATGAATCTTATTTAGGGAATAAAAACATGAAGAACCTATTTGAGAATTTCAAAAAAAAAATTACTCCTACTCACGATGATTTCCAAATTAATGTAATATTGCTAGTACGAATCTATCTTAATTATAATCTTTTTATGGAGTATCTTATTTAATCTTATACTGCCGATAGAGTAACTATCTGAATGTTTTTATTTTTATGGAGTGTTATAATTGTATTATTATGGAATAGCATAATTGTATTATTATGCGAGAAAAGGGTCAAATAAGCTCTTGAACTTACATAAAAAGGTCAAATAAGCTCTTATATAAGAGGTTCTGTCCGGCTGTCGCCATTTGGGACAGTTCCCGGTGGAATTTTTTGATGAAATTTTTTGAGCATGTTATTCATTAAGTCTAGTTTACTCATACCAAATTTAAGCTAACAATTCAATTGGTAAGGCATTCATATGAATTCTTGAACATAACTGCGCTTTTAACTGAAATTTGGTATGAGTAAACTAGACTTAATGAATAAGATGCTCAAATAATTTCATCAAAAACTTCCACCGGGAATCACCCCAAAAACTTCCAGCCGGACTGAGCCTCTTATATAAGAACTTATTTGACCTTTTTATGTAAATTCGAGGACCTACCTAACCCTTCTTTATGCTTATAATCGAAGTATATTAATTTCATCCATAAATCATATAGTGGGCCGATTCAAAGTTTATACTATGTAATTGACAATATATTCAAAAATGCTTGACAATAACTAAAGGGGTTTTCTCCTGGATATCTACTTTAGTACTAATAAAGTAGAATCATCTCGAAATTGATTTCTCCTTAAATTGCAATTGAATACAATCATTAAAATTCTTAATTTTTAGATTTTGCCCTTAAAGTACATTCTTTCACTTGCGGATTCTAGGCTTCACTTGAGGATATTAATTTCAAAAGACAATCCTAGGCTTCACTTGCGTAAAAATGAGGTACGGACGAAGGAAAATTGCTTATGATATTAGTCACTCGAAAATTGCTTCTGATGATATAACTAACGCTCCTAATATTTCTTTGTCGCTATTGCAGACCTTACCGCACGTTTCTGCGCGTGTTTATCATGCCGTCTAGCTTTTATTAATTTGAGCGTTAAATTCTAAATTATTACCTCCGTTTTTAAATAAATACAACATATGAAATTTTACACTATTCATATGTTCTACTTTGACTATATTTTATTTATTAATGTATTAATATTATTTTCTGAAAAAAATATTGTTAAATTTGTCTCATTTTATATTTTCAAAATCTATTTTTTTTAATTGTTTTACTAATACAAAATTATATATATTAATGGTCAAAGTTGTGTCCCAGCAAGTGTGAAATGTTGACTATTGCATTTATTTAAGAACGGAAGAAGTATATAATAGGAATATCGTGATGTGTCAATTTGTCACATCGTGATTTTTTTTTTAGAAAAAGAGAAGTTACCAAAACCACTAGTATAAATTTTAACGTGTACCATACAAGAACCTGCAAATATTATTCATCACCGCATTTCCAGTTCCATTCACTTTCAATAGATAAATCATAGGCAGCTAGGTATTACACCATTAGCGTATTCTTCATTTTGATAAGTTTCAATAATAGTTTCAGTATCACACTTATTTTACAACTAATCACCAATATTATGAAAAGTTTTGAACTCATAAATAAGTGTTCGATATGGGCTATATCATTTTAAGTTTTAAATAACGAGTCAAGAATCTTGTATTTATTTCAGTACCAAATCAAAACAGATCAGATGTAGACAGATCAAACTAGACCAGTTTAGACTAGAGTAGACAAGAAAGTTTCAACCCAAGTAAAAAATCCTTAGTATCCTAAGCTCATAATTTTTAATTTGAAGAAAATCGTTTATAAAATATTGTCCTAAATAAATCTAGAAAACAGGTTAAGTTTTAGTCATAAGTTCTGGTAAATAGATTTGGAGCATGAAAGTTCTATATTGTCCTACAAGTATCACACTTATTTTACAACTAATCCGTTTGATTGACCATTTTTGCTACATTATTATTATTATTATTATTATTTTCGCTCACATGTGGTCCTCCTGTCAATATTTCCGATGGTTAAAATCGCGAAAGAAGTATGAGAAATTTGGACGGAAAGATCACAAATTGCAAAAAATATTAGTCAAGTATTGAAAGTGGATGAAAAGACTAAATCTGAAATTGACATAAAACTCAAAAAGCCAAAAGTGAAATTCATTCACATCAAAAATAAATTTGTTAAAAGTATTCTATTCTAATTGTATAGTATTTAATATTCTACCACATTCTTTAATTATATAGAATTTAATATTCTAATTGTATCAAAGGATTATTCTACCACTTCTTAAGTTCTTATTACTCCTTCCATCCCATAAAGTTCTTTCCGCTTTGAATTCAATCGGAGTTTTAGAAAGTGAGAATAAAATGAAAATGTATGGTTGTGGTTGAGTAAGAAAAGGGTAAATGAATGGTAGCCACACAAAACTCTTCAAAAAGGAAAATTGGAAGAATTTTTTGGAACGTCCAAAAAAGATAAGTGGGAAGAATTTTAAGAGACGAAGAGAGAATAAAATATTAGAAAAGGAAAATTAATGTTAGTCTTATTTAAGGTTTAAACCCCTCAGATCAAATGTCTCATGAAAATTAAACAATGGTTATAAACTAAATAACCACTACTGGGGCTGCTGAATCACTGCTTCCTTTTTTGTATCTTCTGCCTCCACATTTTCATCTGCAAGGATGGCTGAGCAGACTGAGAAGGCTTTCTTGAAGCAGCCAGGGGTTTTTCTCAGCTCAAAGAAAACAGGTAAGGGCAAGAGGCCCGGAAAGGGAGGCAACCGTTACTGGAAGAGCATCAGCTTGGGCTTTAAAACTCCTCGCGGGGCTATTGAAGGTACATACAATGACAAGAAATGCCCCTTTACGGGAAATGTTTCTATTAGAGGTCGTATCCTTGCCGGTACTTGCCATAGTGCTAAGATGAACAGAACAATCATTGTTCGTCGTGAGTGCGTGACTACCTCCACTTTGTGAAGAAGTATCAGAGGTATGAAAAAAGACACTCAAACATTGCTGCTCACGTGTCACCATGCTTCCGTGTGAAAGAGGGTGACTATGTTACCATTGGTCAATGCAGACCATTATCCAAGACCGTTAGGTTCAATGTTTTGAAGGTGATTCCTGCTGGTTCTGCTAGTGGTGGAAAGAAAGCATTCACTGGACTGTGAAGTGTAGTTTCCTGTTAACTTTTTAAAGTTTTCAAGGAATTATATTAGACTATGTTTCTTGTTGAGTTCTTATTCGATTGGTCTTTATCCTACATTTTGTACTCTAAATTATAAAAATGCATTTAAATTTAAATTTTGGGACTCGTGTTTTTTGCTATAAAAAAAATAAAAAATAACCACTACTATAATGTCAAGTGATGTGATAGAGTTGATTTAAAAGTTAATTGGAAAAGTTAGATTTTTTAGTTGGAGAACTAATGACAATAATTCAATAAGAAATTACCATAAATAGAACTAAAAACGTTTGAAAATTCGAAAATAGGAATGCCATGTTTTTATTCTCAAAATAGAACTAATTAAATTACTGCCATGTTTTGGCAATACCAGACTTTAAGCATGGCAGACTGGCAGTATTTTCCCAACTTGGCAGTAATTAGTCATATTTTGGGAATAAAAACATGACAATCATATTTTGGGATTTTAAAACTAATTTACTCCTATTTCGGGAATTTTCCCTAATTCAATCAAAGGATTATATAGTACGGAGTATACGTTATGTCCCCTAGATTTGGATGATAATGTAATAGTTTTGATGATGTCACCCCTTTTTATTATCCCATTATTAGACTAGTCTACTACTTATGTTCTACTTTTTTTTATTTATAATGTGTTCCATATTTAGTGGTAAAGTACTCATAAAAAGCAAAGAGTACTAAAAAGAGAAGTTAAACGCGAAAAAGATCAAAAAGAAAAAGGTATGAAAAGAGTTAACTGGTACACATTGTTAGGAAGTCTACTAGAAAACCTAGATTTCGGCAGTCAGCTCCCAAGTTTGGCAGCCAGCTGAAATATGGAAATCCAGTTGAGGCATCCGAAATCCAATTCTCTCTTCTTTTAGCACAAAACACTTAGACAGAAGATCAACTTGCAGACAAAAGAACAATTTGATAAAAAGTAAATTTATAAGATATTTTAATCACATTATAAATTTCTTAGAAACGTATTTTACAAAAGCAAGTGTTCGTTCTTTGTAAGGTAGCATTGAAATATCACTCAGCTTTATACTAGTTTTTACGTGTAAGAAAATAAAGATAAAATATCTTTTATCTTGCATTGAAGTGTGTAAACAAGTTGAGCTGAAGATAGATGATCCGTGTCACTACGTGACAAGAGATAACCATGATGCCTCAGTCAAGTGGAACAAAGCAAGTAGATCAAGCTACGGTCAAGATTCATTTCCTCAGCCAACGGTGGAGATGCAATGATCAAGTCTATAAATACAGAAGGAGTGTGGGATTACCAAGTGTGGTAAAACGTGAGGAGCCAAGTGGATAGAAGGAAATTATACTACACGAAGATATCCAGCCAGCTGATTTCTCTTCTACACTTCGGCTACCACCCCACTCATCTAAAGGGTGTTTGG